AATAATCTAAACGGATCCATGAATATTGTCTTCATAGATTGAGGCTAGCGAGAAATATATATAGCGGTGAGTTTCTTAGGCAATGAATATACCGGTAACATATCAGATGGCAAAGCCTATATAAGCAAGTTTTAAACATCTTGTTATAGTTCGGTTTAAAATCTAAGTTACAAAAGGTAATTGGTGGTGACTTTCCTGCAAATTTTGTATTTTAGTGCGGGGATCAGAAGAGGCGGCCTTTTGGGTGAGGAGTTAGGCCCAACTCAAATTCTAACATGGTATCAGAGCCAGCCCCATGTGAACTGAGTGATTGACCAGCGGTGGGCTGCCAAACTATCTCCATTCATAGGCAAGTGGACCATATGGGCTTGACCGTGAGGGGGAGTGTTGGAGATCCCATATCGACTAGGCACACTCAAGCCAATGGGTTTATGTAAAAGCCACTACTACTCAAAAGCTTATAATGAAATATATAAAAAAAAATAACATAAAGAAATTGGGCCCAAAACTTTCTTTTTATTAAATATGTACATATATTCTTTACATACATATACATTGTTACACAAACTTGTAAAGTGTACAAAACTATTAAAACATGGTGGACAGTGTAACCGCTTCCCCTCGCGTGTCGACATCCATCCGACTGCATTCTCACCTGGATCCTGCAAAACATAGGAAAACAACGGGGTGAGCACTAAAATAATGCTCAGTAAGTAAATCCTCTACTCATTCTAGCCCCGTAACTCTCTCTCTCTAATTCTTTCCTTACAACTTCTCATACCATTTCTCTTTGGTACTTCTCTTTCTCTTTCTCTTAGAACTCCTTTCTAGTAGCTCTCTCTAATAAGTCACGGCCCCATCTTACCGGGGGCACGGCCGGGACTCACTCCCACTCTACGTGACCTCTACTCATTCTAGCCGATCGGACTCAGTTATGCATGGATTCGGAACCCTTGGCTATGTGAGTGTATAATCTCTCTCTCGGGTACTCGGGTATAGCCCTCATCCGCATGCACTCTCACGGGCTACACCACTTCTCTATCTCATACTCATGCCGCTCTCTCAATGCGGCGTACATGCGGGAATACTCTACCCATTACTCACGGGTTCCCCATCGCACAACCTACTCTATTCTCTTAACTCTTAAAGAACTTATACTCAAATTCTCTACTAAATCTCAAGCTACTTCTCAAGTGTATAAACAAAGGTGTAGAGCTATCTCATGCTCCCTAATGCACTAATGAAATGCCAACTACAAGATTTCCTCAAAACAGTCATTCTGCACCAGTCACACTAAAACGGCCATAACTTATGCTATACACCTCGGATTACTACGGTTCTGGTCTCGTTTCAAAGCTTAGAAACAGGGCTACAACTTCTCTGTTTTGGTCTCAGCCCAGTTCGAACCGTAAGATACTCAAAAATTACTTAGAAAGTTACGGCAGTGACAGGGCAGATTTCACTTAGGCATTTCCTCAAACATCTCATGTGCATATAAACACCCTACGAAAATTACTACTAAACTTCATTTTTCTAGCCATCCAAAATGGGGAAAAACTCCCTCAATTACTCATAATCCCTGTCAAGAAAAGCACTCCCAAAAAGCTTCACACAACATCTCTCAAACTTCATCTCAAATTCCATTCTCAATACACATTAAAACACTTCTCATACATGGAATCTATCCAACAACTACAAAAATAGCTACTCATCTCAATTCAATTTTCTCATTAATCATACTACATACTGATCATGCATACATCTCTACACAAAAAGCTTGTTTAAAACTCAAGTTGGTTGGATTTACTTACCTTGTGCAAAGATGACTTCTTTAGCACTTTTCCTTCCCTTTGTGGTCTTGTCTCTTCTCTACAACTCAAAACAACCACAAGGACAGCAGCAACCATATAAGACTTCACTACAATTTATAAGAAAATTCACATCTAAAGCATGAATCCTTACCTTAGGATGCCTTAGATGAAATCTCTACTCAAAACCCCTCTTAAATCCCTTAGAAATCTTGGAAGATTGGATGGAGAAATTGAGAGAAAATGGGCAAATGGAAGAGGCGGTGGAATGAAGAAATAAAGGGTTTCTCTACACTTAACCCTTTTTAGTTCATATTATAAGCATCATTTCCCATTTTGCCCTTGCCCTTCCTTGGAAATTCCATCTATATCCTTTGATTCTTTACAACTACACCCCCATCCAAACACAATCTCTACTAAATTTTCTTTCATTTTACTCCCTACTTTTCCTACTAATTAGGGGTAGAATGGTCATTGTGTCCCAAAAGAAGAATTCTCTAGAAAACTCAAGAAACTTTGTCTTAGGCTCGTCGCCGCGGCGAAGAACTTTGCGTCGCCCCGGCGAAACAGGGCAGAACCTACCCGTGGGTGCAACTCCTCCTCCTCGCCGCGGCGAAGCTTATTCTTCGCCCCGGCGAAGATTGGATTTCCAAACTTCACCAAAATTCAACCAATTTCAAGGTAACCAATCAACCAACTCAACATACATGAACAAATAAACTCAATTGAAGCTGAAACAGTAAACTTTTAACTAATACAGCAAATCTTAAATACGTACCTCAAGTGGGATATTATAGTTTATAAGAGTGGGCAATCCTCCTACTCAATAAGGCCTTTTGAGTGAGGAGTTAGGCTCAACTCAAATTCTAACATGGTATCAGAGCCAGCCCCATTTGAGCTGAGTGATTGACCAGCGGTGGACTGTCAAACTACCTCCATTCATAGACAAGTGGACCATATGGGCTTGACCGTGAGGGGGAGTGTTGGAGATTCCATATCGACTAGGCACACTCAAGCCAATGGGTTTATAAGAGTGGACAATCCTCCCACTCAATAAGGCCTTTTGGGTGAGGAGTTAGGCATCAATCTTTCAGATCCTTCTCTTTGTTGGCCCAGACCTTTATTTGGGCCATCTACTAGGTTCTCAAGCCCTCCAAGTTTTAGCCCATACAAAGTTCGCTAGTACTTGAGTAAATCCTGAAACCAAACGTGTAGCATACAGCTAAGAAGCTGATAGAGTATGTGAGATTGGCTAAACTGGATGGAATTTGAGCAGCGTTGAACTGATTGAAAGCTAAATTTATGCACTGCAGACACTTAAGACCGAAAAGGTGAGCTACATTCTCAATTCCACCAGAGACTGATTCAATTGCTCAAGTCAAGACCAATCACACGACCGCTCCAAGTGCTGCAATCTGTGCTTTGACTCCACCGTACAAGACGTACCAATGAAGTGGAACTGAATACGAGGTTGCCCTTCATTTGGAGTAACAACGAATTGCTGATCTCTTTGACAGAGACCAGAAACCAGAATTATATAGATGCCAACGGAATTTTCTAAAATGAGTGTGATGAAAAGCCAGGACAAGAATAGACTTCTCATTGAAAACTAATTAATAAGCAAATTCTCATGACTGAAACTTGTGACGTGAAAGGAACGGTAGACAAGGAAATTTAGGAAAGCAAGATTTTGTTAGATTCTCACACACGTTAGGAGAACATATACCGTAGACCTTGAGTTTTTGTCAGTTAAAATGCCAAATTCCTTTCATAATCACTTACAGCAAGAATATTGAAGAGAATTTGATGAATAATTTACACCATACAACAGGCAAGGGTCGTGATTATCTGTAATGATTTGGTGCAAACTCTAATTTAGATGATATCCTAGAGTTAAAAGATGGTAATTGGAAATATTCCTGAAAATATAGTATATTAGTAATGGTGTTGTTTAAGTGCGAGGATCTGATGGAGGAGGAATACTGAAATTCATTGACCAACCTGAGCCACGGAAGATTTTCTCTGGATAATTCACCACCCTGTAGCTGGTATTTGTTCTTGTCCACTCGAGAATAGATTCAATATTATACATCATAATTCATGAAGCTTTGCTTTGTTGGGTCTTTATTTGGGCCGCTAACTAAGCTTCTCAGGCCTACCATACTCTACCCCATTTGAAGTATGTGAAAACTAATTCTATATAATATATTTACAAATTTCTTGTTTAAAGTCATTGATACGAGCCGATGTGTTTTAATGTGATTGAATGGTTTTAAATTAGGGATAGAGTTAGCAAATTAGAGGAGATGATGTATTAAACATATAGGGTTGCCACATTAAAGGTGGGCAAACGGGCCCGGTCCCAAATTGGGAGGGATTCGACCCAAATTGGTTAGAACTAGTCATGGGCCCATCACTTTTGTAAGGGCCTAGACTAATCCCAAGCTAGGGTCTGGCTCATATAAACAAATTATATTTTAACCTTTAAATTTATTATGTATTTTATATATTACAGCGGGTTTTGGTTATTTGTTAGGGGTCTTTTAAAATTATCTGGGCCTGAGCCTTGGAGGAAGGATCGTCCTGGGCCCGATCACCCCTCCCCTAGGCCCAGGCTAGTCTCGGGACCAGTCCCTATGGCACCTCTATGCCACATCAAGTAGCATCTCGTTCTGTGTTTCTGAAATATGGAAAATTATGTCGCTGAGTATGGAGGGGATTAGGTTGGCAAGAATTAATGATGTCGCATCCTTAAGGATTATAAATAGTTCCCTGTTTTAAGGTGGGTTAGTTTAACCCACATCTCATTTGGTGATCCAGTTTTTCGCATCATCAATAGGATTACATTTGATTAATTGATCTTAGATAACTATCACATGAATAGCGAATATAGTTAGAAAATTAAGAAATAGGGAGATGGATAGACAAGACAAGTAGACCAAACGAAGATAACTAAGATGGTTAAAAGATAAAAGTGTCAAATCAATCAAGGAGAACCATAATTAAAGCCCAAAACTAAGTTGCAAGAGGCTTTATTTCTAAGCTCATGAAATCAAATCATAAACAACTTGAAATTCTAATAATTCTAATCGCAATAACAAATGAAATCCTAATCTTAATTAAACAATAAACATGAAATAAAGAACTTATAAATGAAACAGAACTCCAAATTACATACTAATATCCTTAATTTTACCTGATAAATTTCACCTTATACTTGTTGATGCAATCATCATACCATTTGTTTACCTTCTTGGAAAACATCAGGGGTGCAAAGACAGCTCCAAAGCCCACCGCGAATCCAATCTCCTTCGTTATAAACAGCCAATCAATTTTACTATTTGGTGAAGGTGGTGGTGGAGGTGGTAACATGCTGGAATTTGTTGTGTAATTATTTGTCAAAGGAGGGCCACATAATCCTTCATTACCCTCGAAAGATGTTGATGAAAATGATTGGAGCTGAGTACCTGATGGTATCTTTCCCACAAAGTGATTATTTGAGAGATTCAGGAATGAGAGGAAATTTAGGCTTGCAAGTTGTAAAGGGATTTCCCCACTCAGGTAATTTATTGAGAGGTCCAAGGACTCCAGTTGTCGCAACTTTCCAATAGATGATGGTATAGGTCCTGTGAGCACATTATTTGACAAGTTAAGAACGTAGAGTGATTTGAGTTGTCCTATCACTTCTGGTATTGGCCCTTCAAATTTGTTGCTTGACAAGTCAACGGAATTGAAGAAAGTTATGATCTTCACTAGCTCCATCTCTTGACCTTTGCTGGAAATTGTTACTGAATCCTCGTAGTATAATTTGCTGAATCCCATGAACTCAAATCCAAGATGCTTGAGATTTGATTGGGCTTCATCTTCATCAGCCATCATTGCCTTCCAGGTTAAGCATATAGCTGGAAATTTTCCACTAAAGTTGTTGGAAGCTAAGTCGACAATCTGAAGCATTGGCCAGTTGCCTTGTATCTCTGAACAACCGATCTTTCCATAAAATTTGTTGGATCGCAAGACTAGGACATGAAAGCTAGATATTTCGTTCAGCCAGCATGGAAAATTGTCAGTGATCTGGTTGTTTCCAAGGTCTAACACCTCCAGCATTGTGCAATTAGCCAGAGATTTAGGAACCCTTCCTTCTAGTTGATTTTCGTTGAGACTTAGCGTTTGCAATCCACAATTTCCTGGAAATGCATCAGGAATAGTTCCTATGAGATTGTTTCTCCTTAAACTTAGAACACCGAGATTAACAAGTTGGTATCGTGCCATTCAAGTTGTTCTCTGACAAGTCAAGAACTTGAAGATATGTGGAATTGCATATTGTTTCAGGGATAACTCCTATGAGGCTATTGTTTGAAAGGGAAAAGAATATGGTGACTGGGAGAAAAGTACCAATGTCAGCTGGGATGGAAGTAAAAAGATTACATGAGTAATCCACATAGATTGCAGACCGTGGTGGCTTTGGGGTCTCTCCTTTGAGCTTGTTGAAGTGTAGGTCAAGGGCAAGGACACGTAGATTAGAAAGATTATATGGTTCTTGCAGACCCACCAGAAGATTATGTGAAAGGTTTGGATGGATGAGATTGCCATTACCAACTCCCCATATCCAGTTAGGTATTTCTCCCGAAATTTGGTTGTCTGAAAGATCTAATTGATATAGGTTTGTTTGGTTCTTGAGGTCAGGTATCATGCTCAGGTTGCAAGAAGCCAACTTCAATGTGCTAATCTTGGGGGGCAAAGAACTACCACTAGTAGCATTCACTACTAAGCTGTTGTATGAAAAGTCAAGCCTTGTAAGATTGCTAAGCCTTTGAACCTTATCTAGCTGTACAGTGCCATTGAACTTGTTGGAAGAAAGTAAGAGGATACTTAGGTGTTTGAGTTCAAAGATAGACATAGGAATATGCCCTTCTAATCTGTTGCCAGTTAGATCAAGGGTTTCCAACACAGAGGTGGATGGATTTAATAATTGAGGAAGTTGGCCCTCGAATTGGTTGTTAGCAAGTTGAAGCTGCTTCAGCAATGGCCTTGAAAACAGAGATGAGGGGATTTTTCCTTCAAGTGAATTGCTGCTTAAGTCAACATAAACAAGATACAAAAGCTGTTCTCAGTGAGTGAATGAGATAGCACCAGTCAAATGATTTTGAGAGAGATCTAGATAGGAGAGATTTTAGGACATATGAAGAGGTGGGACTGGACCAGTGAAGTTGTTCAATGACAAGTCCAAATAAACTAGTTGGGTGAGATTAGATAATGAAGTGGGAATTGGTCCGGTGAAATTGCAGCTTGTGAGCTCTATTCTTGACAAACTTTTAAGCTCTCCGATGGAATCTGTTGAAGCAAATGATATTTTGCTGGAAACTTTTTGCATGGCTGGTTTGAAAGTTTGGCGCCAGTTTTTTGAATTAAAGGGGCTGTTTGTCAAGTGATATTTGTGTATTGTTTAGGTGAAGACAGCCGGTGATTAAGGCCACAAAATCCCAATGCTATTTGTGTTTGTGAAGGGTAGTTCAAATTGTAACCTTTTAAAGATTATTTTATACTGAGAAGTGGTTGTAACAGTGCTGTATGATGTTGTTGAAGCATTGATAATTTGCTGGAAAATTCAGTTAAGTTAGTTTGTTTTTTGAATTAGTTTCTTGGTGCCAAGTAGCAGTTGCATTCCCTTGTTTTCTGCTGAAACGGAAGCTGCTGGAGTTGTGCTGTAGTTGTTATTTTTTGTGACATGATTAGGTATAATCAGCTTAGACTAAGGATGTATTAAGTTACCAACTTTGTTTTTGAAATTTAAAAGTCTGAATGGTTGTTGTAGTTGGTAAAACATTAAGCTTTATTGTATATATTTTGCAAGTTCACTAATAAAAAAAAACAGCAGTTCACTTTCTGCAATTTTTCTCCTTTTCTTTCTTAGAGTTCTCCGGCCAAATACCATCAGATGTCCATATATTTCTCTGTTTTGAATGAAAAACGCAGACTGTTTTTGTATCAGTTCTTTCTCTTCTGTTTTTCTCTCTCTCATGCACGAATAACCTTCTTTCTCTTAGCTTTCGAGGAAAGTCTGGCAAAGATCCCTGAAGTAATTTGTTTTCCGATAACTCAAGAGTCTCTAGTGTTGGTACCTGGAATATCTTTTCTGGAAATGTTCCTTGCAGCTCACAATTACTAAGATGCAAGGAGGTTAGATTGGAGGAATTTGCCAAAATGCCTGGAACTGGGGACGATAGATTGTTCTGATTCAAACGAATTACTGAGAGTGACTGAAGGTTCCCAAGGGATAAACCTATAGGGCCTGAAAGAAAACAGCTGGACATGCTCAAAACTTGCAGATTGGGCAATGAAGAGGATAAAGCTTGGCACCATTCATTTCCATGGGCTGATATATTTACACCATCAAGATACAGTTCTCTGAGCTCTGTGAGATTTTGAACCAGCATTCTTAAGTTTGGGTTCTCGAGTTTCAAGAGAGAATCTCCCACGAAGGTAAGACTTGACAAATCAAGTGAAACCAACTTTGTCATGCCTGAAATCGAACTGGTAATCTGTCCTGCGAAGCCAGCATTAGAAAGATTCAGACAAGTCAAGTTTGTGAGATTGGCCAACCTGGACGGAATTTGAGTTGCATTGAATCTATTATAAGCCAAATTTAGGCTATTCAGATTCTGAAGAGCGAATAGACCAGTCGCATTCTCAATTCCACCGAAGATTGATTCATTGCTCAAGTTGAGACTAATAACATGTCCAGCCTCATCACAGTCCACACCACTCCAATTACAACAATCTGTGTTTTGATCCCACTGCGCCAGATTTACAGATGAAGTAGAATTTAATATGAGGCTGCTTTTCATCTGGAGTAACTGCAATTGTTGATCGCCCTGACATTGGCTAGAAACAAAAAGCTTAGAGATGTTAAGAAAAATTGCTGAAAGGGGTATCAAAAAAAGCCATGTTAATAACAGATTTCTCATTGGGAACAGATTATATGAGCAAAATACTTGTATAAATGAAGCTTGAAGATGTGATAAACTAGTAGTGACTTTATATAGGAGGGTCAAGGCTTTTGAAGAGGACCTTTTAGCTTAAAGTCCATCTGATGACCAGTAAGTGTTTGGTGGGGCATGGCGACCGATGAACCAAACATATAGATTGGGAGGCAGAAGCAGCAAAAGAAGCACAGGAACCTAAGAGAATGAATGATCAGCATATTTAATTAAGTATGTGCTCAAGTTTTTTGTGAACGAAAGCCCGATATCTGAATTTTAGTAGCTCATGACTTAATTTTTTGTTAACTAAAAAACAAATTGCTAGATCCTCTAAGCTCTTTGAGAAATAAAAAAGTAAAATAACCAAAACAGATCATTAGTTTTGTTCTACTTTCCAATATTTTCCTTCATGTTCTTGGCTTTAAGAGAACAATACCCTGATGCTAAAAAGAAGTAAACACTAATGATTGTGTTGATATATATATTTGGTCTTCTTTGATGTATTGATAATATGAAATGCACATCATATATCTTCAGCGACTCTCAACAGGAGAGCATTCCTTGAATCTATCTCATTAGCACACATATCAACAGAATTTTAAACTTTTGTTCACCATTCCATTGGCAAGAAGAATAATCCTCAAAGTACTTTCGAAACCTATCACAAAAAATAAATGTTTAATTATTCTATTTATTTATATCATTAATGAGATGGTAACAGAGTAAGATTTTCTTGGTTCTCATTAGAAGCTTCAGTGGGGGTTGGTGAAGTCGACGCCACTTGTTATATATAAATATATTAAGTCAAAGTTGCTTAGTTGAGTTCATATATGCATGATTTGACTTCCTTTGTCTCTGTTGGAATGTGAACACTTTTGTAGTTGACGAAAGAAAAGGCAATTAAGAAAAAAAAGACAAGCTAGAAAAGACAAACAAGAAGAAAAAGAATTAAGTTTTCGGCAAATTTCTAGTTTAAGAATTTTTAATTATGAATAATCGTTTTCCTTTTCTGAGATGTATTAGGAAAGAAAAATTGATTTATGATATTATTTAAGTTAAAAGAGGAGAATGATTAAAATTAGAGTAGTTCTATTAGAAATAGAAATGTGAATCTTAGTAGAATAAGAATATTTTATTTTACCGATAAATAAGGAATTAGAACTAATTCAAAGTTATGAAAGAAAGAAGTAAAGAAAGAGAGAATGTAAGGATACAAGGGGTTCTAATGTAAAGGTACTAAGCGGTATTAAAAACCATAGATCGGCGGGATAATGGTTTAAAGAGTTTTGGTGAATGATAATCGGGAAAAAGAATTGTGGTAGTATGGGCTGCAATGACGCTGGAATCAGAAATATAATATAAATTTAGATGGTAAAATGATATTTTAAATGTTTATGGATGAAATAAGTGTTATTAAGTCATTATACTCAAAATTTAATTCTAAAATTTGGTGTGAAAGCTTTGTCAGCCTGCAGTCATGTTGGACCTAGGAAATGTGGATGTTGACAAGGTCATTCTCTTCATTTTCTTTAAACCAATGCTTCATCGTTTTTATCCAAAGAAAAATTTTATATCACACCGCCATTAAACTGCTAATGAATTTTGGTAAAAGTTTCAGAAATTTCACATTAAGTTTCATGGATCTTTCAATTCAAGTTTACAAACAGACAAAATGAGTTTGAAGAAAAGCCACGACAAGAATAGACTTCTCATTGGAAACTAATTAAGAAGCAAATTCTCATGACTGAAACTTGTGACGTGAAAGGAACGGTAGACAAGGAAATTTAGGAAAGCAAGATTTAGTTGGATTTTCACACACGTTAGGAGAACATATACCGTAGACCTTGACTTAATACTTCATAATCACTTACAGCAAGAATATCGAAGAGAATTTGATGAATAATTTACACCATACAACAGGCAAGATTTGTGATTTGCCAAGTTAGGATCTTGAACAGAATCATGTTCAGCGGGTGAGATTATTTGTAATGATTTGGTTTAAACTCTAATTCAGATGATATCCTAGAGTTAAAGACGGTAACTGGAAATATTCCTGAAAATTTAGTAATGGCGAGGATCTGATAGAAGCAGAATAATGAATTCACTGACCAACCTAGTGACGGAAGATTTTCTCTGGGTAATTCACCACCCAGCAACTGGTATTTATTATTGTCGCTCAAGAATATATTCAATATTTTACATCATAATTCATGAATGTTCACTTTGTTGGGTCTTTATTTGGGCCATTTATTAGGCTTCTCAGACCTACAATATTCACCCACATTTGCAGTTTGCAAAGAGTTTTATAATTACGAATAATATTACATATATAAACTTCACATATAAATCCATACAAATTGATGTATTTTAATGTAATTAGATGATTTTGAATTATGGATAAACTTAACAAATTATAAGAGATGATGTGTTAAATATATAGGGTTGCCACATCAAATAGCATCTCATTTTGTGTTTATGAAATATGGAAAATTATGTCAAGGGGATTAGGTTGGCAAGAATGAATGATGTCGCATCCTTATGGATTATAAATTGTTCCCTATTTTAAGGTGGGTTAGGTTAACCTTGGTGATCCAATTTTTTGCATGATCAATAAGATTACATTTGATTAATTGATCTTAGATAACTATCATATGAATAGCGAATATAGATAGAAAATCAAGAGATGGGGAGATGGATAGACCTAAGGAAGATAACTAAGATGGTTAAGATATAAAGTGTCAAATCAATAAGAAGAACCATAATTCAAGCCCAAAACTATAATGCAAGAGGCTTTATTTCTGAACTCATGAAATCAAATCATAAACAACATAGAATTCTAATAATTTTTAATCCTCTAAAAGGCAATAACAAATGAAATCCTGATCTTAATTAAACAATAAACATGAAATAAAGGACTTATACATGAAACAGAACTCCAAATTATAAACTAATATGCTTCATTTTACCTGACAAATTTCACCATATACTTGCTGATGCAATCGTCATACCATTTGTTTACCTTCTTGGAAAACATCAGGGGTGCAACAACGGCTCCAAAGCCTACCGCGAAACCAATTGCCATCATTATAAACAGCCAATCAATTTCACTGTTTGGTGAAGCTGGTGGTGGAGGTGGTAACATGCTGGAGTTTGTGCAATCAGTTGTCAAAGGTGGCCCACATAATCCTTTATTGCCTTCAAAAGAAGTTGATAAAAATGATTGGAGTTGAGTCCCTGTCGGGATCTTTCCAACGAAGTGATTATACGACACATTCAAGAACGACAGGAAATTTAGGCTTGCAAGCTGTGCAGGGATTACCCCGGTCAGGTTGTTCACTGAGAGGTCCAAGGACTCTAGTTGTCTCATGTTTTCTACAGATGATGGGAGTGGGCCTGTGAAAGCATTGTAAGACAAGTTGAGAATATGGAGTGATTTTAATAGCCCTATCTCTGCTGGTATTGGCCCTTGAAAATTATTGCATGACAAGTCAATGGAGGTAAATACAGTTAGGATCTTCACTAGCTCCATCTGTAGACCTTTGCTGGTAACTGTCACTTCATCCTGGTAGTATAATGAGCTTAGTGCCAGGATCTCAAACTGGAGGTGTTTGAGCTCTGATTGGGCACTGTCAGCCATCATTGCCACCCAGGTCGTCAAGTATTTTTGAGGTAGTCTTCCACTAAATCTGTTGGAAGCTAGGTCGAAAATTTGAAGCATTGGCCAGGAGCCTTTCAACTCTGGACAATCAATTTCCCCGTGAAATTTGTTGGATCGTAGAACTAGGATGTGCAAACTGAAGACATTGTTTAACCAGCACGGAAATGTGTCGCTGAATTGGTTGTTCCCAATATTTAAAATCTCCAGCTTTGCACAATTGGCCAGAGATTTTGGAACCATTCCTTCTAGCTGATTATCACTCAGATCGACCGTTTGTAGTGTACAATTTTCAGGAAATGTACCAGAAATAATGCCATGAAGACTATTTCTCCTCAAGTTCAGTACACCAAGCTTATAGCTGCTTTCAATTAAACACGGCGGTATCCTGCCACTTAAATTATTGCCTGATAAGTCAAGAACTTGAAGAAATGTAGCATTACATATTGATTCAGGGATAACTCCAGTAAGGCTATTGTCTGAAAGGGAAAAAAACACAGTGATAGAGAGGAAATTACCGATGTCAGCTGGAATTGAAGTGAAAGAGTTATTTGAGTAATCCACATACATAGCATTTGGTGGCAGTTTTGGTATCTTTCCTTGAAGAAGGTTGGAATGTAAGTCAAGAGCACTCAGGTCAGAAACAGAATAAGGTTCTTGCAGACCCACCAGGAAATTATATGAGAGATTTAGATGGATGAGTTTCCCATTACCAACTTCCCAAATCCAGTTAGGTATTTCCCCGGAAATTTTGTTGTCGGAAAGATCTAACTGATACAAGTTCGATTGGTTCCTTAGATTAGGAATTACGTTCAGTTTGCAAGAGGCCAATTTCAATGTGCTAATCTGGGGAAGGAAAGAACCGCTACTACTAGCATTTACTGCCAAGCTGTTGTACGAAAGATCAAGGCTAGTTAGATTACCAAGCTTTTGAAGCATATCTTGCTGTACAGTGCCATTTAACTTGTTGGAAGAAAGTAAGAGGACATGAAGGCTTTTAAGTTCAAAAATTGACACAGGAATAGGCCCTTCTAATCTATTGCCACTTAAATCAAGGGTTTTAAGTAGAGAGGAAGATGCAACTGAAAATTCTGGAATTTGGCCCTCAAATCGGTTGTTGGCCAGCTGAAGATTTTGCAGTGATGGCAGCGCAAACAGAGATGGGGGGATTCTTCCATCGAGTGAGTTGTGCCTTAGGTCAACATAAAAAAGATTGAAAAACTTTCCACGATCTGTGAATAAGAACTCGCCGGTCAAAAAATTAAAACTGAGGTCTAGATAGCTGAGTTTTTTGGACATGTGAAAAGATGGAAGTGGACCAGAGAACTTGTTATGGCACAAGTCTAAATGGAATAGTTGGTTGAGATTAGCCATTGAAGTGGGAAGTGATCCATTGAAATTGCAAAACGCAAGATCTATGATCGACAGATTTTTGAGGTTGCCTACGGAATCTGGTAGTGTCCCTGAGAAATTTGTGTCATGGAGCACCAGGGACTGAAGAGAAAGATTCTGAGGAAAGTCTGGCAAAAAACCCTGAAGAAACTCGTTATATGATAAGTCGAGAGTCTCTAGTGTTGTTATCTGGAATAATTTCTCTGGAACTGCTCCATACAAGCCGCAATTACTGAGACTCAAAGAGGTCAAATTGAGGAAATCAGCCAAAAATTCTGGAACCGGGAACGAAAGGTTATTACTGTCCAAATTAATTGCTGAGAGTGAACGCAGATTTGTGAGGGAAGAATCTATAGGGCCTGAAAGAAAACAGAAGGATAAGCTCAAAACACTCAGATTAGGCAGCGAAAATGATAATGCTGGGCACCATTTCTTTCCAGAGGCTGATATATTTACACCATCAAGATACAGTTCTCTGAGCTCTGTGAGATTTTGAACCAGCACTCTTAAGTTTGGGTTCTCGAGTTTCAAGAGAGAATCTCCCACGAAGGTAAGACTTGACAAATCAAGTGTAACCAACTTTGTCATGCCTGAAATCGAACTGGGAATCTGTCCTGCGAAGCCAGCATTAGAAAGATTCAGATAAGTCAAGTTTGTGAGATTGGCCAACCTGGACGGAATTTGAATTGCATTGAATCTATTATAAGCCAAATTTAGGCTACTCAGATTCTGAAGAGCGAATAGACCAGTCGCATTCTCAATTCCACCGGAGACTGATTCATTGCTCAAGTTGAGACTAATAACATGTCCAGCCTCATCACAATCCACACCACTCCAATTACAACAATCTGTGTTTTGATCCCACTGCGCCAGATTTACAGATGAAGTAGAATTGAACACGAGGCTGTTCTTCATTTGGAGTAACAACGATTGCTGACTGCTCTGACATTGCCCAGAAACCAAAACCATATGGATGCCAAGAAAATTTGCTAAAAGGAGCACCAAGAAAAGCCTGAATAAGAGTAGACTTCCCATTGATAACAATAAATAAAAAGTACGTTTCAATTTTCCTTGTCAGAATTTACTCTAAAACTCTCACCTGTAATGATAGAATTTAAACTTGAAGAATGATAAAAACTTGTAATGATTGATTCATTGCTCAAGTTGAGATTAATAACATGTCCAGCCTCATCACAATCCACACCACTCCAATTACAACAATCTGTGTTTTGATCCCACTGCGCCAGCTTTACAGATGAAGTAGAACTGAACACAGGCTGTTCTTGAGTTGGAGTAACAACGACTGCTGATCACTTGACATTGCCAGAAACCAAAACTACATGGCTGAAGCAGCTTGCGAAAAAGATGATCAGGAAACCATGACAGTAGATTTCTCATTGGTAACTAAACCAAAAACACCCATATGACTGAAACATAAAGGACATAAAAAATCCTGTTGTGACTTTAAAAGTTACATACCCACTTACATACCTTTCGGCTTAATAGCTTCAACTTATGGCCGACCAAAAACTATGTCAAGTTTGGCAAGAGAAGGCAACCAAAAGTATTGAGTGGAAGTTGGAGAAGAAGCAACAATGGAGATAAATTCAAGAGAATAGTTAGGATTGGTCCTTGTATAAGGTGTTATTCGTATAGGGATTTCTGTAGCATTAGTTAGTGGTCGACTTGTTTATTGATTATCATACAGGCTCCATGGTCGACTTTTTTGTTTAATAAATAATGTTGTAGACTTTTGTGTGCGGTAGCTTCATTTTGAAACCCTATTTAATAAAAGAAAGACAACACCAAACGCTCACCAGTTTTTCAATATTGTAAGAAATGATTAGTAAGGAGCCATAATTTTGGCTCCCAGTACAGAGTTTAGGTCAACATCCAATCTTATTAGAAGAGATCCTAACGGTTGATAGATATTCAGAAGGTAAATATTTTTAGAATATAAATAATTGTCAAACATACCACAAAAGAATCTTCAATGATAATACCAACAAAGGGGTTTGATTTTCTCTTAATTTAACTTAATTTTTTTTTTTTTTTATATATTTAAGTTATATGTGATATATAGCGGTGAGTATAATCTAGAAATTTGACTGTAAAATAAAAAGAAGAAGAAAAAGAAAGAAGTAAGATCGTGTTGGATGTCTATCCACTGAACGAAGAGGAAAAGAAGACAGTGGTTTCACATAAAATTGAATACGAGGGTATTATATTATATCGTCAATTATGATTTTTGGTTGTGCTTACGATCTTGTGAAGTGGGCACCTCTGTCTATGTCACATCAATGAAAGTTACGACTATTTCTCGGGCTCCGTATAGTTGCGTTTTTTTTATTATTTTTATCCATATTCCTAATCTTATTTTTTAAATATTTCAGTATGTTATTCCTAAAATATTAGTTTATTTTTTAATTATGTTGAGACTTATAATTTATTAATTTCACTAAATATCCCTTAGAAAAAATTTAAAAACTAATAAAAACACCCCTCACCCATCAATACTTTCAAATTCTGACAACCACCGCCGATGATAGGCAGAATCTATCACAATAGTCACATAACCACCGAAATAGTCGGTAATGGCCAGATCTGACCTTTTTCAACTAGATCCATTGCCGTCAACGACGGCCAAAGATGGCGTCGTTTTAGTCTTTTCCGACCGTGCGGCCACAGCAGTTCGTAGATCTGGCTTTTTAGACCAGATCCGTGGTGGATCTGCTGGAAAAGACCATAACGACACTTACGACACATATCCGACCGGTCTATGTCTAACGAAATTTTCTAGTCAGATTCTGGCGGTGGTGGCCAGAATCTGGCACTGCAGGTGGTGGGGGTGTTTTTGTCATTTTATATATGGGTCTTTAATTAAATTAAAAACCTAAGGGCTTTTCATAAATTTTAAAGTTTACCTCGTAATACTCCCTATCCAACAACCCAATACTATCCCCAAAATCCTATCCAAAATGATAAACCAACGCACCCATTACTTTTTCACCTGCGTATTTTTTAAATAAATGACGCATTTCAATTTGTGATTGAATAAGGCAGCATTACAAGGTAAAATTTAAATTTATAATAAAATCTTATAAGTTTACTAATTAACTAAATACCTCAATATATAACTTTTTATAAAATGATAAAAACACCCCCATCCCCCGCATATAGATTTCGGCCACCATCGTCGGAATCTAGCCAAAAAATTACGTTACAAACATACCGTCAGATCTAATGGGTATGTCATCAATATGGCCTTTTTTGGCCAATCCACACGAATCTGCCGAAAAAGGCCAGATCTACTGCCAGATATGGCTGTCGACGACTGTAAAAGTCCATCTTTGGCAGTCAGCGACGGCCAAGATATGGCCGTCGTTGACTAACAACAACGACCATTTTGATGACGGATGTGGCCAGAAAAAGCCAGATTGATGAATTACCAGTCAATTCCGATTATAGTGTAGGGCGTTTGACAGATCCAGCTACCACCAATGGTGGTTGTCGGATTCTGGTAAGTATGTATGTAGAGGTGTTTTTATTAATTTTTAAACTTTTTTTTGGGGGTATTTATGAATTAATAAACTTAAGAGGACTAAAAGTAATTAAAAATATATTAATATTTCTCAAATATGTGCTAAACAATATTTTGGAATATTAGTAGAAATAGGGAAGAAAATGCCCCCAACTGAAAACAAACTCAATAGCTTTGAAGATAAAGATCGATAAATCTTTTGGTAATGAAAAGTTAAATTTTGGTGACTGAAATTTATCAAATTTGATTAGAAGGATAATTGCATAAATCTTAACTGTTTGATTGCTTGGATTGGTATGATCGGTGAGAATATGATTTAAAGGGTTTTAACGAGTGATGTTTGAAAAAGATAGTAAATAAAATATAATAATAAAATAATATTTTAAAAGTTTGTGACTATTATTTAGATGCAAATGTCGTCTACTCAAAATTTTATTCTAAAACTTGGTGTGAATTCCTTGTCAGCCTGCAGTCTGTTGACCTTGGAAATGTGGATGTTGAAAGGTCATTCTTTTCATTTTCGTTAAACAAGTGCTCATCGTTTTTATCCAAAGAAAAACTTTATATCTCACCGCCATTAACGCTAATGAATTTGGTAAGTCTCAGAATTCACATTAAGTTTTCTTGTTCGGATCTTCAATTCAAGTTTACAAACAGACAAAAACTCTGAAGAAATTAATTGAAAAGTCTCATGTGAAACTTATGGGGTTTACAGAACCTGTAAACAGTCACATTTGAATTTTGATTGCCATTAAGAGAAAGATAAGTTTATAAGACATGCCCAGACTTATTCATGTAAGCTGAGAATTAGTACTCAGTCTCAAATAATTGGACCCACCTCCATTGTTTCCAGTAGACCATGAATTATTGTTGAAGTCTGGCTCCATGTTATGTAAAATATTTCGCCATTGATAGTTTACTCGACTTATAGTCACATAGACACGTTTGTTATTTACTCTAGTAATTACTAACTCTGAAACATTGGATACCAAACTCTTTACTGGACCATTATTTTCCATCTCAACAGTCTTTTATGTGGGATTATAACGGGCACAAATAGTCGGGTTAAAGGTCTAAATTTTGAAGAATCTGGGTTGAGAAGCCAGTGGAGATGGTAAAATTCCTTGTCTGCCCTAACTTCTTGTTTCTAGAAAACTGAATCTAACCCTTAAGATTAATGCAAAATCTTTTTTAATTTAAGTCTTCAAATGAAAACAATTGCTTCTTCATGTGTGAACGAGGAGAAACAACATAATATAAGGATAAATTAAACAAATTAGATGGAGTTTGATATCCTTGGTTGCTTGTTGAGGCCCTTGCCGTATGCCAAAGAATTATTAAGGGAAACCAAGAAGACACAAGAGAAAGCATGATTCATGACCCATTTGCTTAAACGAGTCGCATGTTGTTTTCATGGAGCGTCAAGATAAGGCACCACTGGTTGGCAGATACGTCAAGGATAAGGCACCACTGGTTAGCAGTAGACTTTGAGGATTATTAGTGAAGAAGGATTTGGAGGCTGGCCTTGAAAAGATTGGGTTGAATGTCCATTTCAGGAGTTATTTTCTATCGAACTTTTTCCCACTATCATGCCAATTTTATTGACCATCCAGTTGGTACGAGACTTAATTGTACTAGTTCCATCAATCTTGGCTGAGTCATGTTGCCGTTGTCTTTTTCAAACTCTTTTATAGATTTATCTGACTTATCCCCTTGGTAATGCCAAGATCCATAGATTCCCATATGCCTCTAAAAGGCTAGAGTGATCCATCCGGACTCCATAAATTGCACTTGAAAAAAGATAGTGGGACAATTCCATCTGAGAGGGGACCTGAAGACAATTGGTTTGCTTTCTATACAATTGTGTATGGAGCTAATTGTCCTATCCAAAAGGCCCATCTCCTTAACAAAGGAGACTCATCCTCCTTATGTCCTCTTCAATGGTTCAATATGGCACAATCTCCTTACTCATCCTATGAACCCGTCCTTTGATTCAAAACAGAACAAAATTGGCACTAACATTTCTGATTATATGGAAAAAGAATTGAGTTCAAAATAAAATTCTAGAATAGAATGATAAATTCCTGCAAATTGATTATAAGGGTTACCACCCCCCATTGCATCTTCTGATCAGCCAACAACCAAATTCATAATAAGTATTTCTATAATTTACTGAGTAGCTGAACCAATATCCATCAGTTTAGAGACCTTGGACATATGGAGTGTTACACTTGTTCACCCCCATTTTAATTTGACATACAGAAAATACAGCATATTTATAGTAACATAAGCATCATGTTGCATTCTGGTTTCCTTCATTAAACAACGTTTTCTGAATTAGGTTTATGCATTTCTGCCATAATCATTCGTTCGCCTCCAGATTCCATAAACTCTCTTCGGTTTGGCTCCTATTTCTGTTTAGCTAAGT